TGTTTTTACTTTGTAAGTTAAATATTTAGTTTATAAACTATGACATTTATAAATGTATGAATCATATGGTGAAAAACTGACGTTGAAAAATAAATCTGTTATTTTTTTCTTATAAAAGTCTAAATAAAACAAAAATATTGGTGGTAATTTTTGACTGTGTAACTTTACAAAGGGCACCCCACAGAATTCAGTACAAATATCAGGATATTAGTGGACACAAGTCCATCACAGGCAACATAGAGACAAACAAGATAATTCATTCTGACTCACACCTGGAGACATATTATAGTTAATATGGGTGGTCTGTCAGAGGGACCACCACCTGCTGTGCTTCCAGCTGTTTAAGTGTGTATCAGTACTTTCTTGTGAGTTTTGGTTTCTCTGTCAGCCACACCAGGCAGTTCATCAGTTTTCACCTCATGTGTTAATTTAGACTAATAATTCCTGCAACACGTCACCAGAACATGTCACAGCAGGTCTGAGTGACAGATAAATCCAGGACCTGTCAAACACCTGACACCATTTCCTGTTCTCTGAAAAAATGTGCTCCTCTTTCCAGGAAAATTTCGTTTATCATTTTAACTTGATTAGGAACCAAATTAAACCAAAAAAATTCAGCTTGTAACTGAAGATCAATGCCAACAACTTTATTCTTTAAACTTGCATTTGTGTTCATTTACTGTAAATGTGATGGGATATTTTAAATCCTCACTCAACATTTTATAAAAAATAAAATATAATAAAAACAAAGCAGTTGCAATACATWTTACAGCTCAGTAAATTCTGCTAATTAACATTCATACACAGTTTTTTACTTACAAAAATGCAGAATGGARCTGAAACTCAAATATCCTGATACGTTTGAAATCATGCTAAAACCTTTCTCATTTGCAGGTTTGTTGATAATAAAAAACTAATTAAATGAAAACAAGACAAAAGTATAACTAATAGGATTTTCTGTATCAATATATTCAGTAGAAGTTGATCAAATTAGCTGCTCCCTGCATTTCCTTTGACACTTGTCCAAATAAGATTAATTAAATTAATTCTTTATTTTATGGAAGTTGTTTTTCAGTTGGAGTTCATATTTGTACAAAGTATCATTTCTTTGAATTGGGGCTGAAGTTTTGTGTATTTAGTGCAAAAATAAAATCCCTTTGAGACTCATAAATGACTTGTTCTGGTCCATGTCTTGTTCAGTTTCTCTGAATATCCTGCAGGAAAAGGAMAAAGCTCTCTGCGTGTCTGAAACCTGCGGTCACCTCCTCACCCTGAGCAGAAGAGTCTCTCGTCAGTCTGACCTGTCCGATCAGGTCAGACAGACCAACCTGAGATTCACATCACACAGTCTAATATTAGCATATCACCTTCAAAGTAACGGACACCAGCACATCAATAAATTTATAGATAAATGGATATTCAGTTTGGCTTTAAGCTGTGATGACAAGATCTGAGCCGCTGCCCAGAGATGTGCTGCGTTCAGAAAACAGCAGGTGCTTCGCTGCTCGTTTCCCTCCTTCAGATCCAAATAAGTCTTCAGTTTTTGTTCACAAGCTGTGCTGAAGCTCCAACGCCAGAACTTTTCCTGTCATGTTGCTGTTGAGCAGTGATTAGCTTCTCAGATAGAATTATCTCTTTTATGTTCTGTTCTCTTTAGTTCCGGACTGTAAAGTGTTAAAATAACATACAAATGAGTTTGCAACAGGTGACGTTGTCAAACTGGGTATAAAAGAAACATCCACCAAAGATAAAGTGTATTATAGTGAGAAAAGTTCAGTTTCTGAAGGTCAAGGTCAGAATGTTTTGTTTAATGTTCATAAAGTTAACATTTCAGGAGGAACCATCTTTCGACTGTGGCCAGAACTCTTACAGAGACTTCAAAAGCAGATTTAGTTGATCTGACATTTAACTAAATTTATAGCATGACTGTGCAAAAAGATTAAAAATATATATTGTTACAATGATTTTTAAAGGGATCCTCCATTGGCATCATTATTTAAAACTTCATTTAAACTGCTTGACAGCTTGTCAGCTAAGTTACACGCAGTCACATTAATTTTTATAGCCTTGGTGTTCTTTGGTCACACAGCCTAAAGGCAACAGATGAAGTGTCGCTGAATGATTTAGGTTGTGTTGGATCGGTCAGACGGACTGAGAGTTTACCGGCACTTATGATTATGTTTTAATTTAAAGGTAACTTGAAGAAGCTGTGGTTCGTGATGTTTGGTGAGGCTCAGTGTTGTTTGAACACTTGTGTGAATTCTATAGTTGCTACTCTTTGTTGTTTCTTTCGTTAAAATTCATGTATTTTTTATAATCATCTTGACATTAAACCTTGAGAACAGGTTCAGTTTAATCTGAGCACCGGATTAAAATGGTGTAAAGTTTTTTTAGTTTTTCTTTTGAGTAAAACCTCTGACTTTTTTTATCTGAAAACCTTCAGCTTTTGATGCATTTGGTTTTATTTTTGTGACGAAGGCTGTTGTTTCATCTTCTTCAGTAAAATGAATGAAGCAAACAACTTGTGAAATAACTGTTTTAGTTTGAGGGAAGTTGTTTAAATGCTAAAAAGAATGAATGCTGCTGCTCTAAAATATACATGAATACACTTTCAGTAGAAATGACAATGGTGATGTGATTTTAAATTGATTCACATTTGCAGTTACCTTTTTCTTTTTTTTTACCTCTCCAGTTTTTATTTGCCTTGGCAGCAGACAGAACAGCTCCTGCTCTGACCTCAAGCTGACTTTTCCTTTTGAGCACCAGCTTTAAAGATCAAATACGTTCTGGCAATCGAATCACACAGTAGCTCTGCCATTTTCTCACTCTGAGAAACACAGATTAGATGTCTGACAATGAACAAACAAGCCTGGCTTAGTGTAGCACATAACTCTTCAGATAAAAAGAAAAACACCATTAATCATATTTTTTTCCCTCTGACCCTCAGTGTTCCACGTTCTGTGAAATCTGAAAATCCTCTGGGTTGCACTTATGGAAAACTGTATTCAGAGTTTGACTTGGCCAGACGATCAGGCAGATAATTTAGGTTAATCCTCAGCGCTGAAAGGATTCAGTGTCAAATTTACGACTTTGTGTCTATTTCTGAAAAACACCTGGAAGACTTCCTGATGGCTCCCGCAGGGCACGTGTGATACTGAGACAGGCAGTTTAAAGTTACCATGCTTGCTTTTTTATTTATAAAGAAAACTGGCTGAGTTAAAATTTTCAGCTTGAAAGTCAAAAACACATTTCCTCATTATAACAAGGATAAAGTGCATCATGAAAACCTCAAATCTGCAGCACAAACATTTCATTTTTATCATTGCAAACGTAAAATAAATGAAAATGATGTCGCTGAAAAGTGAAATAATTGGATAAAATTAGATTTTAGTATCAAATATTTCATACCAGATTCAAAGCTAAACTGGACCTCAGACGTGTTTATGGCTCGGATCTATTACTATCTAGATACCATTCATGGCCCACCATGATGTGTTCCTCGCTCCAGAATCCAGGTCTAAATATATCCATGTGTGCTAAAGACACTATGTTGTAAGGACATGGTAGCATTACAGCACAGCTAAACTCTAATAATCCTCAGAGTTGCAGCTGTTACATTGTGTTTCAGCCTGAAATTTAGTTTAGTTTCTAAAAAAAATCAGGTTTTTCATTGTTTTCCAAAGTGGTTTTCTTGATGTTTGAAAAGATTAAACTGCAGTTTTTTTATCTCCTTCTGAATTCACCACCTTTCTTTCATGCTGTTTGTCTCCAACAGAAATAGTTTAAAATATTCATTTTTTTCTTAACATTTTTTGCATTCAACAGCTTAGCCAGTAGTCTGTAAGGGATTTTATTTGTAAAGGAGTGTATAATGGCAGAGTAAGGCCATTTTATGTTGAGAAATTATGATCAAATTATGTTCAAATAAAAAAAAGGTTTTGCACAAGTAATTCACGAGATGTTATGCTCATAGCATTTCTCATGAATGATTCTTAGCTACTACCAGATCAAAATTTAGTTCAATTTCTGTGAAACTAAGTATTTTTTGTGTTTATGTAAACATTCTTAAAAATCTTTTCAGACTTTCATAAAGTTCCCATGATATCAAATAAAGCTGGAATAAAAATGAACCAATAAATGTGCAGAGATTCAATTTAGAATGTCTTTTCTTGTTAATTGGCATCAAGAAGATGTACCTGTTACTGTGAAACTGATAATAACATCTGATTTGTTTGATTTAGTTTTCTTCATTTACACCAAGAAGTCCTTACAACGTGTGCTGTCAGAGTGAAGAGGATCCGGGACAATAACTGCTTTATGTTTTTCTTTTTTGAAGAGAAGAATGATGTAACAAGTTGATTGCATTTTTATTGAAATTGTCGTAATAAAAATAATAATGAAAGCATTTATTGCATTATAAGTAAAAGAACAACATACAGTTATTGTTTTCCCTACATCGTGTGTAAGAATTCACAGAAAATTTTCTAGTACAGGTAATATACTTACTACTCACATGAAACTCACACATATTCTGTTCAAATAATAAAAGAACACCAGAAGCCTAAAACAGAGGTCCAGCTAAAATATTTTATAAAATAACAAAAAACAAGTTGCTAAACTTAGAAAAATATATTTATAAAAGTTTTTTGATCACTTGTAAAGGCCTGAAGTCCATAAAAGTGTCTCTCTGTTTCGTTTCGACACCGCTGCTCATCGCTCTCCTCGCCCTTCCATCTCTTTCATACATTTAATGGCACCCTTCCCACTGCTTCTCTTCCTCTCCTTCTCCAGCCTCATCCTCTCTTTCTCCAGCACCCAGTCCCCTCCGAGGAAGCTCAGCGCGTCTTCAGGTCGTCCTCGGTTCTGTGGTCTTGGGTTGAGGAGCGACTGGAAGAAGGAGCAGGCCAGCGGAGTGAAACATGAGAACTGAGGCGCTGCAGGGGTTTGGTCCTTCTGTCCTGTTTTGTTCAGATCTCTGGTCTTCTGTTGGTTCTCTGATTGTGGTTCTGTCCACACGTCCAGTTCGTCACCGAGGATGTTCACTTGATCAAACCACTCTTGGTATTTGAGGTAGGAGCCACAGTCGCTGGCTGTCTCAGCCCAGGGGTGGCTGCCGGTGAGCATGGCGTACGTCAGGATGCCCAGGGCCCAGCTGTCGGTGGTGGGCTCCACAGAAACTAAAACCCTCTTCTTCTTCTTCTCCTCATCCTCGGAGCCATCCTGCTGATCGTTGATGCTGCTCCAGCTGTCCTCGTTCCCCCGAGCGATCTCAGCCTCAGGTGTGCAGTACGGGGAGCTGTACCAGACCTCTGGGACTCTGGTTCCACTGGCCTTCACCTGGAGGAGGTATTAACAAGGTTGATCCGGTATTACCAGGTGATTTTGCAGGATGAGATCAGTTTGAGGACTGGCTGCTCGAGAAACATTGTTTTACATTTTTACTGACCATGCCGAAGTCTCCCAGTTTGACCCAGCGGCAGTCCGAGTCGCACAGGAAGACGTTCTCAGGTTTGACGTCTCTGTGGACAAAACCGAGGGTGTGCAGGTGGGACAGAGCCCCACACAGCTGGGACACCACCCGCTGACAGCGGTCCTCCTCCATCCCCACCTGAGGGACAACAGAAGACACTTTCTGATCCACAAATCTATGTGAACTTAAACTTTTTTATCAGTTTCCCTCTCACTGATTTTCCTTACATAGATTTTTACATCAAAATAGTTTAAATTATTTCTTGCATCAGTCCATTTTTTAATGTAATTCGTCTTTCCTGGTTGCGTGCAATCTCAAAACAGACAAAAAGCCGAAGTAGGAGGAAATCCTGCAAACTTCTTGGTGTGATGCTGCCTTTTCAAAGGATCTGAAGAAATTTATTGGTGTTTGCTTATTTTAACTACACTACAAATGGTATATTTGTATTATTAGGAGAAYAGGAGTTAAATATGATTATTTTGCTTAAATTGATGATTTTATGTAGATTCATGCCTGAACACAGATTCAACACTGAACCGCTGATCTTTATTAGGTCAGAAAATATTGTCTGAGGATATGGCTCGAGCAGTGTTAGGGACCCAATCTGGATGACGCAGTAAAATAGGCGGAGTCATGTCCTGAAGTTTCTGTTGTACTGAACTGACTTCTGGAAAAAAGGGGCCTGAACRCAGACTGAGAATAAACACCGCCTTCAGCCAGAGTGCTCTCTGTGTGGTTGGTTGAATGCACTTGTTTCCACATTCAATTTCCACGTATTGGTACATTTTCTGTGTGGTTCAAGCACATAAAATGATAAACGAACACTCTTAAAGGGGCAATATCATGTAAAATCAACTTTTTTGAGTTTTATTTCATGTTATAATGTTACACTCTCATAGAAAACATGCCCAAAGCCTTGCTTTGACTCATTCATGCATGTTTGAGAAATCCTGCAGTGTTTTTTATGAAGCCATGCTGAGGAGCAAAACGACAGGTGGGGACCAGAAACGCCCCTGGGACGTGTCTTTAAGCCAAATTTCCTCATGGCAGAGCACCCCACTGCCCCCCACCCAACACACCTCACCCATGACTCCTGCAGGCTCTCTGGTGAAAGTGAAAGTGAAACTTAAACTGTCTGCTGAGCTCTTAACATTACTT